GGTTATAGAAGGGTTATATAAGGGTTATATAGGGGTTACATAGGAATAATCGAAAAGAAAATGGAAACTATGATAATGGGTTACATAGGGATTAGAGGGGTTATATTGGGGTAATATAGGGATAATGGACAAGAAACCGGAAACTACTACATAGTAGATTGGGGTTATATTGGGTTAATTTGCTTGTAATCCAACATTTCTCATTTTAGCCTCTTATTCAATGGACCCGCATACCAAGCAGGCAAGATAGAGCCTTCTGGATACAGCCACCGGCCGGAGAGTCGAGAAGTCCCATCAAGCAACCCGAAACAGCATGCAGCCCATGGTATGTTTATACCATACTGACAAAATGTCCAAATCCAAGGCAGCTCTGCGGAAAAGAGGTGACAGTCGTATCAAGCCAAGCTGCCGTTGTATTGGAGCACAGAGTTGTCAAACCATCTGGCTGCCTGTGGAAAGCTACCTAGTTTTGCCTGGGAGGCTGATGTGGCGCATGGAGGGATGCGGGAGAATCCATCAGGGGTGCTGAGGATTTCAAACTGATGGGAATACTCTGTCATGAGTACTCCCTCATGGGAGCTACATCCATGCTAGGGGCTGTCACTCATTGGCGATGTAGCTGTACCCAAGCACCCGCAATTGACAGAATTAGTCCTTGTTCGATGCCTCGATTTTTGCGGGGAAACCACTGACATGTCTTTCCCCTTCGAAAGCAGAGAATGCAAGATGCAGGGAACAGCAAGCACAACAGGGCACAACGAGCGACATATCAGTTCCGCTGGACATGCTGTGACAGTAAAAACAGTTACATAATCGTGGTGTCAATCTGCTTCTCCAGTGTTGAGCAATAGAGCAGAGTCAATGTGCAGTCTCCCGACAGACGGGCCTTCAGTCCTTTGCTCGGAAGTCCGCCTCAAGCTTCCACTCTGTGGCAGATCCAAACTGGAAGCATGACGTCGAGGAGGCAATTGCAGAAGCGAGATTCTAAGCTTGATGCCATCTGTAGTGTACGTCTGCATGTACCTGACGTTCATGTACATTGTCAGTCGACACCATGCAGTTTCTCAGTGTTTAAGGCAGCAGCTCAGTGTTCGAGTATTGCCAGGTCGGCTTTGGCCCGATTCGGTTTGTGGACCTGGATTTTAAGTATCTCACTCGGAAGCTGCCATGCCGTCCGAATCCCCAGAGTCTCCAATGTCCGTATAGACTCGGTGTTAGGCACGCTGGCTGATCCAGGCCAGAATGTCTGCCAGGCTTCCTTGGAGCCTGCCACGCCGAAAAATTATCCCCTAACTGCTTCTGGCTGCACGTTGTGTCTTAAATCGTGAACGAAAAAATCAGGAAACATCTTGACAAATGCATCCAGCTAGAAACACAAAGTACGCACTTCACAAGACTGAGCCAGATCTGCCTGCAGATGGAGTCTCTGCGAAAACTTGGGACTGCGTCGGAACTTAGGTGTCAAAGAGCTTCGCAAGAGCTTAATTAGGGCTGCTGTAATCAACTGTCTCCACGCTGTGGCCCATGCCCGAGCCACTTTCAGTGTAGCTTGGACGACCGAGGTCATCTTCTACATCGGTGTGCTCAGAAGCCTGCCGTGCCGCTACGACTCGTGATAGGATGTTCTTGTGAAATCCAACCCTCAATGCGCAATCCTCATCATACGTTGACTCCCCCAGGCTGAAGGCATCAAAGAATTTTGGTGACCTAACCGTCAATATAGATGCAAGAAGCAGCGCTCGCCACACATAACGTCAAGAAAGCTATAAGCGTCAATGAGCGCTTCACAACTCTGGGCCAGCCGTTTCTTTGCCTCCGATGCTGAGCATGTTAATTTTTCCTTTATGGCACATGTCACAGCAAACAGTTAATGCAGTACTTGATGCTTCAAACTTGCAGGCATCATAGGTCCGTGGTGTCATGCTGGGAAGCTTGCCTACAATGGTTCCTGCAGCTGTGCCCGTCTGTAGGAGGTCTGGGCCTCAAGCAAGCAAGTGCAGCAAAGCCAAGTCGCGGGTGTGGGGTTGACAAGCCCGCTGCACCCCATGTGATCACAACTTTGTTTCCTGCGATGGAACCATGTTCTTGGTTGCCAGCTAGCGCTGTCGATTGCGGACGGGATCTTGCATTGGTGGCGCTGGTGAAAAAAACCGTCTCATGCAGAAGAAGACCGAGAGCGAGACCGGCTGGTTGATTCTCTGTCGCCGCAACACTGCCAAGGCTGTGGGAAAAGTCCTGAATTAGCACAAGGGTGCATCCTTCCAGCCGTGAGTGGCAGGCTCTATCCGCCCAGAACATTAAACAGAACCAAGCCACGCCACAAGCGCGACTGAACATATACATCTATACCTCGGCTGCAAGATCATCTTGAGGACTCCCCAGACTTCAGGGCCAGACTCAGTCCAAAGCATTTCGGTATCAGGACAGTGGCCACACTCCTTCAAAAGGATGAGCCGCTGGAGCCAGCGCACGACGTTGCGTACTGCAAGAAGACCAGAGGCCACAGGTGATCTGAATGTGACTTGGCCCGCCCTGGATGCTTGAGCGCTCGAAGTCTGATGTGCCCGATGCAAACCTTCTCTGCTCAGCAATTTCGACGATCAAGCTCTGGCAGCTCCTATAATTCAGGAGCACCACAAGCTTGAGCCTGGTGGCTGACTCTTCCTGTGAAACGATGGAAGCTGAGCTTGGAAGCTCTGCTCCGGCAATGCTGGCTTCATTTCATCTCTTTGAACTGCTTGGTTCCAGCATTTCAAGCCGGAGATTCTTGTGTGTCGTGCAAGATCCGTCCCAACTTTGGAGACTCTAGCTCTCAGATTTGTGAGAACACCAAATATTGACAAGCTGCACAACTTCAACATGTCTTGGCAGTGCTAGAAATATCCGTCAGGGCCTTGGCTCGACGCACAGGCTAGCAGGGCGGCTACTTGCGCCAGGTCTATTCTTTTCCGATATCATGTTTCCTCACTATGCCAATGCTTCAGAAGGATGAGTGCATGTGCACACAGCATGTCCAACCAGGGCCGGGACCAACGTGACCTGGTGCCATAGCTCAAAAGCTATTCCCGCTTCCGAAACATGCAGGCAAAACGTGGGACCTTCTCCAGCAGCTGCTTGTTCAGCCGCAGCTCGCAGTCACTCATGGTCTCCTGCACACAGGAACATGCCAATGCAAGGGGACCAGCCAGACCTTTGCCGTGATGCAAATCCGCATGTGGTATGTGTGCGGCCGGTATGTTTTGTGCCAAGCCGTTCCCATGCAATCCCCCGCCAGACGAAACTCCCGCCTGAGGCACATGATGCCGCGTGCGGGCCTCGACACCCATGTCTGTCATCATATCAACGCCAAGCCATGCCAAGTCTGCAGTATGAATCGACTTTTTTCGTGCAGCCAGCAATGTCGGACAAACTGAGGCAGCAGCAGCGATCTGTCGTTCCAGTTCTTTCCGGTTGTCCCGGATCATCTTCCTGGCGGAAGGTCATGTTAGATCAGCAACGACATGTGGCCACCTGGCGTTGTTGTAGCTATATGTTTAGTGCCTCCACGTCAGCCAAGTTTACAGACAGACCTTTGAAATCCTACCGCACCTCTAATCCGCAACTGGATGAGATGTACTTAGGACCAGAATGTCTGGTCGTCACACAACCAGCTTTGCTGAACCATGCAAGCAACACTTCTTGTGGGCAAGCCGTTCTTGCTCCTGAACCTGACACAACTCAACTGCATTGGGGAGCAAACATCCGTTTAGCTGGTAGACCGCAGAATGGCTGCATGCTTGCAACCAGAGATTGCCAAAGGCTGCCTCCAGCTGCTTTGCCTCTGCTGCTTGTGCAGAAGCCAGTTGCCTGAGGAAGGAAGCGTTTGTTCAACATCTTTTATCTCATCTCGTCAACGGCGGATCAACTTGCATTGCAACTGCAGCTGTCGCAGCTTCCAGCTTGAGCAAAGCTTGTGACTGCTAGACATCTGCCGGAAGTTCTGAGGTCGTGACCTTGCTTTCTCAGCTTCAACCGCTTTTTTGAGCTGCTTCTCCTGCTCGCGAAGCAGAGATGCCAAAGCCAACAGCAAAACTGGGACTGCGGGATCAAGACCCTTCCGAATGCAATGAGGGACCAACCTTCATCTGCTGCAGCAAGTACTCCTGCTGGAAAAGCATGTTGTGTCAGGGCAAGACAGAGCACGGCTGCAAGCTACCATGAGCTGCCTGCGTCTGGCACTTCATGTCTTCCAGCTTCTTGCGGCTGGCCTTAGTTGGAAGCCCCTGCCCATGTGTGCTTTTTGCAATGGCACACAATTGCCCGGCTGTCCTGCTCCTGCTGCTCGGCTGCAAGCTCCTGTCAAAATCAGAACCAGCTGTACTGCAGCTCTGCTCACCACGGGTGCTTGTATTTCTCTCCTTCGCCGCCCGTTCTGCTGCTGCTTTCAACTCCGTGTCGTCGGCGATTTTTTGCATCGCCATAGCCTAGAAAACTCAATTGCTTGACAAGCGTTATCAACAAGATCCACGGCAAGTTCGGAAACAGGCATGGAAGGATGTTGAAACAAAACCAAGGAACGCGAATACCAGCATTCTTTTCTATCTCCTTCCGCTGCGCTGCTTCCTCTTGTGTTGCGGTAACCATGCAGCATCCAAGGAAGCTTACACTGCAAGCTTGCAGCAAGAATCCTTTTCAGCGGCTTCTCTTCGCTTCTCCTCGCGCTCAGCTCGTAGTCGTTCATACGCCTACCCAAATGGTCGCCAGACTCCACAATTGCGGCTTGTACGTAATTAGGAGCCTCAACTTGCTGCTGATCGTGGACCGCTTGCTGGTCGGCTTTGGCCTTTGAGCTCACTACAGTAGAGCTCAATCAAAATCTAGGGCAACACTCCGGAAGACTGCTCGGCCAAGCGGGCCTTTCGGAGCTTTGATGCTTCGGCCGTTTCCGCAAAGGCCTCTCAAGCCACGAACGCACATCCGACTGCTGCTTGAGGTTTTGTTTTTGCGCCTTGTGGACCTGGTCCCGGCGAGCTTTTAGGCGGTCCTGTCAATGGAAGCGCAGGCGAGGCTGGTCTGGGCAACCCCGGTCAAGCCGCACGAACATCCTCGGCATCTTGTCGGTCCCTTTCCATGTCACGATCTCAGCTTCAGCACATGCACCAAGTTGAACACTGTAAAACAGCAAACACACTGCGAAGGCAATCAGCCAGCAGCCCGTCTAAGTAAGCAACGCAAAGTCTCCATCAGCTCCTGCCTTTCCGCTTGCTGTCGCTGCTTTTCCTGCCAGCCCAGAGAGGTTGGCTCTTCTTGGGAGACCCAAGCATCCAGAGCAAAGCGTGGCCACGCATGCCTTCTGTTTGAACTCTCTAAATTCCTTCTAATAGCACACCCTGACAAAAACCCAACAAGCGAAAGAAGCGAAGTCATCACTAAGCAGTCTGATAGTCTGGTGAAGTCCTGGTCCCTCTGGGACCTGATCAGGGCCAGCTGGCCATCTCTGTCCTTCTGCGTCGCTTCTATCTGCGCGCAACAGGAACTCAGATTTCGCTCTTCAGCACCAGAGGACATGCGCCATATGAACTTGTCTCAAAATTTCGGACAACAATGTCCGCGACTTGTAGAAGGGACAAAGAATTCGCAAAACAGCCATACGCTCCATCATGCTCCATCTTTTTGAAATGTAAGCACGCTGCCTTGCGCAGCCTTGCAGTGGCGCGAGCCTCAAGCTCCATGGCCCTCAGCATTCGGATGGGAATGTGACAAGTTGGGGATCCTGGAATTTGCGCATGAAGGATCGCAGGGTCCTCTCAAGGATACCCATCTCATGAAGGAAAGAAAGATGCTGAGGCTTGACTTGGAGCACACTTTACGTGTAGCACCGTTAGGCTCCCCCATCACACGGTGTTCCACAGATCGCTCACTCGCACAAGCCAACAAGAAATCGAACAGCGGGGTGTGGCTAGAATCAACACATAGATGCGACCATGCCACCGGATCTTGGAGTGCTCTTCCTTGCGCGCATAAGAGTTTGCTGGCCGGTCAAGGCACGCAGAATCCCAGCTTCCGGGCTCAGCAACCAAACTATCCGCGTACCGATGTCATCAACAGCTACCCTTCTTAGAGTGAAGCTCGGCTGGTCCTGAATTTGAAGATATCGCTCCTCCTCAGCTTTGACGCGCTCCTGCAAGAGGCAAACACCTTTCAGATCTCGCCACGATATAATCATCTACCCCGCACAGTTCCGGTCACAAGGCAGCATGGCGTTGTCTCGGCACCTCTGAGCCTCCCCAGTCTATCAGACCTTATCACACCTAATGCGCCTTGTACACATGCGTTTGAGAAGATGCTGTCCATTCATTTGGGCCTGCACCTTTCTGACTCGTACCATTCGGTTACCATTCCCTTTCAGTATGTCCAAGCAAAACCAGGAACTGTGAGAAATTAACAGTCCCGTTTGTCATGTTTACGCAGCTCTCCTGCTTAAGCTTTTCGTCAGCCATCTGTCTGTCCAGGTCCAGCCGTAGCTTCTGCTTCAGCCTTAGGGAGTTCAGATTCCATTCCTGTTTTCATGCAATATGGGGATCAGACTGCACAGCCCCCCAGGGGAAGACTGTCAGCACTAGAGGTCCAACTGGGTTGCAGCCAGGCCAATAATTAAGAGTACTTGTCTAAAATGATCAACGACCGCACCGCTCTTGTTGTGAAGGTGAATGATTCACAACACAACTTATTAAAGGACGGACGCTGAGGTTGAAGCTCAAGCTCCTTCTGCTTGGCCCGCTGGTTGTCCTGCAGGTACCAGCAGTCAGACTGCTGACACGCTGACATCAGCAACAGATATTCTCAGCATGACAGTGCGAAAGCAGTAGCTTGGAAGTGTTAGCAAGCAGCGCTTCTGCGATGGCTCTAACATTTGCAGTAACAGCACCTTGCCTGTTTGTGCAACTCTGCAGCCAATCTGTCCAACACAGACCTCATCAGACATTGAAGGGACAGGTTTCATCCCACAACTTTTGAACTAAGCTGCTTTGGGCTGAATGTATTAAACCTCAATCGCTCCAACAAGTGATTGGACTTACTATGAACCTGAAGGATTCAGATTTAGTCAATTGGCAGTCACGATCTGAAGAGAAAGAGCACCCTTCCCAAAACAGTGCTCTTTCACAACAGTACTTGAGGGCCAGCGGCAGAAACGAAAGCTCTGCGCCCCGTCAACTTGTACAGGGTATCGACTTGCACCATACAAAATTGAGTTGGAGTATGTCTTTATCGTGCTTGCAATAGCACGAACAGCAGTCCAGGAGCAGAAAGTCAGGGCAATTAGTTCTGGACACCCTAAACTCCATAGTCCCAAAATGGGCCCATTCATGGTATCCGTGCTACTATGGCACCTGATACTTTGAAATACAACAAAGCCACCTGTCCTAGACCTTGCAGCCCGAATCCCTGTGCGGTTTGATCAGGCTGGGGCCACTCCAAGCCGTCTTGTCGAGGCCTTCTGTTCCGGGGTTTAGGGTTTAGGGTTGCCACAAGGGTTTGGACAGCTCACTCTTCCCCTCGCTCCCTACATTCATGGCATTTTCGGGTTTGGGGATTGGCGCCTCCCCTTGACTGTCCCTGACAATACCGACTTACAGCCTAATAGAAAGTGGTGGGACCAGTTACAAAGAATTGCGGCATCGTGTAGCCAGCCGGTTTTGTTGTCAATACTACAAGGAACATTTTTGCAATCACTAACCACGTGGAAGCAGCATTCGAGGATGAGATCGCAAGGAGAAAGCATCATTCATCCTACAAGTTCGTCCCGCCAGGTACCGATTGTCAGGAAGTTCTAAGGACCAGATGGGAGCTATAGTCTAAACTCCTAGCATCGATAACGTCTATAATACTCCCCTATATAATCTCCTATACAACCCCGCCGCTTAAGGAGTTTAGACTATATAGCTCATGTGCAATTGAAGAGCCAGTATCTGTGTACGTCTTTCTTCATTCGCAGGAATTTGGACTTGACTCCCTCCAGTTGATATTGCCCAGTCTTGCGGAGAATGTTTGACATCAAGTGGCCAAGGGTTACGTTACGTACCAATACTCTGGGCATAATAAGGGTTCTAAACGCAAAAAGCCTTGATGAGTAACTGCGATCGCCGCTAATACGAGGAGGACTACTACAACCGGTGCTGCAGGCTACTGCTCCTACTCTTACTCCTGATCCTGCTCCTACACCCGCTCGAGAGGAGGAGGGGTATGTCCCTCTTCGGACGGGCAGTCCATGCCGCCTTCATGTGAGTTTTCGTCATTGGAAGGGATGGTGAGGTCATAGTGAGACATCAGTGTGATACTGGTCAGGTAGGCAGCAATCAAGAAGGGTATTACTAGCAGTTTCCCATTCAGCAGCAGGAACATTAGCATCCCTGGTACTGGCAGGCGGAATCATGGAAAAAGATCATCGGCAGGGCAAGACATGGATACATCTCCTCGATTCCTGGCTCTACCTCCAGAAAGCAAGCTGTGACCTAATCCCCTTGAAGTACCGCAAACACAAAACAGATCCAAATATGGGAGTTTCTCAAAAGTATGCACTTGGAATCCTTGCTAAAAAAACCCACAGCCCCGTATTTCCCTCCCTCATACTCCCTACTGCTTGTCCCTACCAGGTGCCGCACTCAGCCGGTTCCATGGCATCTGCAACATAGCAATGAAACAACTTGCTGGCTGATTGTCAGTCTCATTTACGAGATTTCGGAGTTTTTGGGGCATCGTTAAGGGGGCAAGGTTAGCTTCCCGCATCAAACTGGACTCCAGCGCCAAATGATGTTTCAAGTGTTCTTTGGGCGCCGTTCGGAAACTCCAGACCCATATTTGGTTCAACTGTCCATCCTGCTTCAATTCTAGATGTTACCTTATTTACCTTGTAGACGCACTGACATGCGGTAGCCTGATCTCCACACATACCAGCTTCTCCCCCTGCCATTGTCTTCCGGAAATGTGCTAACCTCCAACCCGCGCGGAATTGATGCCAAGGCCAAAAGCGGACCTTCACCAATGGCAGCAAGCCCCGGCTGTCCAGCAGGGTTCGACAAGTAAGCCTCACGCAGCTTGAGTTCACGGATGCAAATCTCATTCGGGCACATCTTAAGTCATGAGAGATGCCCTGAGGTCAGCACTGCATCACCCAGCACCGAAGGGACTTTCTCACTGGGATCTGCAACACGCGTCAACTTGCAGGCGTCAATGCTCAGAGAAGGTCAGGAAGTGCAGGGGCTGCTTGAAGTATTTTTATACTAGGGTAATACTGGGGTAATATTGGGATAATGGAAAAGAACAAGGAAACTAATGTTTGGGGTTTAGGGTTGCCAAATTCAGGCCTCGGCTTCGTCGACTGGGCACTCGGGCTGTGAGCGCACCAGAGCCTGTGCAAGCAGCAAGCCCTGAAACGTAGCAAACACGATATGGCAAAAATTGGGAATAGCCATGCCTCCGTCGA